GGATTTTGTTTTCGGATTCTTGTTGACCTCCTTAGTTGTGATTGTGGAGTTGGTACTTCCACTTCACTAGGTCTATCTTCTTCTGGTTGTTGATATACGCCAGCTTGCCAAGGGTTTTAGGGCACAACTAGCTCAACACCATTACCATCAAGTGAATCCTCATACTCATCTAGTCTTGATTGGATTCGAACAGTTTGCTCCCTCATCTTCTGTTGCAGCTTATCATCAACATCTCTCGAATCAGGCAATGCCTCTTTTTTTCTGAAGACCACCAAGAAGATGGTTCATCAAACACCATATCTTGTGATGTGTAACACCTTACAGTCGTAGTATCACAACATTTCCACCCTTTTCTTTGGCTGCAGTATCCCACAAAGATACATCGGACTGCCTTCCTGTCAAACTTGCTACATAGATGGCTTGGAACAAATGCGTAACATACATAGCCAAATACTCGAAAGTAACCAACTGTAGGTTTCATATCCCATAGTTTTTCAAAGGGTGAGACAAATTCTAACCTTGGTTGAGAAAGCCTGTTGATCACATGAGCTGCAGTTCTCATAGTTTCTGCCCAAAACTTTCCTGGTACATTCTTGGCATGGAGCATACTTCGACATATTTATGCAAGATGCCGGTTCTTTCTTTTCGCTATGTCATTCTGTTATGGCATGTTGACACATGTGAATTGGTGACGTATTCTATAATCTCTTAAATACTGGGAAAACTCATTTGAGGTATATTCTCCTCCATTATCCGTGCGTATGCAACAGATCTTCTTTCCCACTTAACTTCAATTGTCTCCTTAAACTCTTTAAATTTTGAAAATGTTTTAGATTTTTCTTTCATAAAGAAAACCCACACATACCTGGAGAAATCATCAATGAACGTCACCATGTACCGCATCCCACTTATCAATGGTTGTTTGACAAGCCCGAACACATCGGAATGAACCAACTCCAAAGGTTTTTTCGCTTTAAACTTTGACTTTTAGTGTAGTAGCTGATGTCCTTTACCATATTGGCATCCTACACAAACCGTGTCTGTTCTCACGTCAAGCTGAGGTAGTCCATTAAGCATTGACTTCTTCATCATCACATTTAGCTTATGATAGCTAACGTGACCCAATCTCATGTGCCATAAATCTGCTATCTCGTTCTTCCTTGTCTTGTCTACGTATGCAGTTTCTGTTCACATTACATAGACTGATTGCAATCGCTGTCTCTCCATTGTTGGCGTCCCTAAGAACTTGAGGTGTTGATACACCTTCACATCTCGTGGACCAAACAAGACATAATTTCCTAATGACGTTAGTTGCGGCACTAAAAACATATTTTTCTTCATACCTGGAACATGGTAAACATCTTGAAACGGCACATGGTTAATTTTATATCGGGGCTCAATTACTGTCTTACCGATGTGAGCAATCGGTAGCCTCGAGTTGTTGGCCGTCACCACCAAGCGGCCTCCTTTGCACTCAGTTAGACTTTGTAACGTTTTCTCATCACTTGTCATATGGTTTGAGTAGCCTGAAACCACGATCTAATCATTTTAGTAGTTAATCGACTCTAGACTTACTGTTGTGAGAGCTGACTCTTGCTTCTCCATAGCAGCGGATGCTTCAACATCTCATTCTTCCTCCAAGGTTAGAGATGCTACGGCATCCCAGACATCTTCACTTTTCTTCTCTGAATTAGCGATGTTACTTTCTGCAGACTTTTTGAACCATCAATCTTTTGCCATATGACCTTTCTTTCCACAATTGTAACACTTACCCTCAAACCTTTTATTGTTCTAGGACTGACCACGGTTGCCTTGATACTTCAGAGCTCCCCCTGGCTGAGAATTCCCTCATTCTTGATGACCATTTTCCTTGTCACCATTTCTTTTAGATCCACCATCAGTATGCTGCTTAAAGCTACCTTTACTTTTGGTGTAGAGTCCTTCCTCCTCACCTCTTAACGAGACCCCTCCCATTTGGTTTGCCAAAGCTTTATGATCGACAAGCAAATTCGTAAACTCAACAAGTGATGGTTGGGTCGGCCATTGTTGTACAGCGGCAACGAAGCCTTGATATTCGGGTCTCAATCCATGGATAATTATTCTTTTTATCCTGGATTCTACAATGGTAGCATTAGGATCTAATTTAGAAATTTCACAGCAAATAGACTTTACCTTGTGGAAATATTTTGCAATCATCATGTCTCGTTGGGCCACCCATAGCAACTCGTTCTCGAGAAGCTGGAGTCTTGTATCGTTCCTCTTTGAAAATATTGTGGCGAAGGTGTCCCACACTTCTTTTGGTGTCTTGGCCTTCCGTATGTGCTCCAACATGTCATCTTCAATTGTGGGTTTTAAGGCAAACATGGCCTTACCTGCCTTGATCTTCGACTTCCTTAAAATGCCGCTGATGTTTTCTTCCGGCTGCATAACTTCATTACCGCCGACGACATCCTAAAGGTCTTGGCCTTATAGGTAAGACTCTATGCACTCGCCCATGTGTTATAATTTTTGTTGTTCAACTTCTTAATTCCTCCAACAACTTGAAGATCTCCCATCGTGTCAGTAGAACTTCAATAAGCTGAACAAGATTAACGAATAATCTTGCGAAGTACTAAACTTCTCACGATTCTAAAAAACTTCACTAGAGACGATCTCCGATCGTACCGTTCTGATACTAATTGTTGGGGAAAAACTTAAAGTACACAACTCTAACACAAGTATTGGAGAGACAACACAAGTAAACAAATTATTTGTATTACACTCACAAAAGATTACAACACACAAACTATCAAGGATAAACTTGAGAAGCTATGACACTCACTTTCTAGAGACAAACTCTAGACCACTCACACTCCTACAAGACTACTCTTACTTCTCACTCTCTTACTTAGCTCTCTTCTTAGCTACTTTCTTCTTTGATTGATTGATACAAATGGTGTGGATGCCTTCTTCTTTTGTAGGCATGGATGGAACCTTGGAGAAACATGGAAACATCATGCTAAAGATATCTAGATGATTCCACTACCTTCCTAAGCTAGAATTATCTACACTAATCTTGTATGTTGGTGGAATCCTCACCATTCTTCTAAACTCTTCCACCAACTTGAACTTTGCTAGAATTCTCTAGCATGTGTATGAATCTTTCTTTGTCCGTAGGCTGGATCCATCTTAGGCCAAGGCAAGATTACACTTCAACATAAACACCAATTGGGCTGGTGTTGATCTTCAACATGTTTCTCATCCATTATGTACACACATATCCCATAAACATTCACCAATTTTCTTTACCAATTAATTAATCTTTTTTCATATCCTCTGTTTTGCCTCCCCAGAGCTTCGGGAGCTAATCCCAAGAGGCCTTCATTCTCTAATCTTTATCGTAACTCTATCATTGATTAAAAACAGAAAGAAAGAGGCAGGATATGAACTGACTACACGTTCAACAATCAACATTTATTATAATAAATGATTAAACTAATTAAAAAATATTTAATAATTAATTAAAAAATATTTGAAGCTGCTGTCAAATTTGATAGAAGCCCCCTTCGCTGCCATTCCATGTCATGCCACATAGAATTTGACACTTTGGTTGGAAACAATTAGTGGCTGTCTTTTTTTACTGTTATAACTTATGTGGACATTTTGACATCTACTTTGGAGATGCTCTAATAACTATTTCCTACAGTCTAAGGATTTTAAATTTGTGACTTTATTAATTAAAAATATTAATTTAACTAATTCCTTATTGTCATTGCAAGTGGCATTTTACTACAGTAGTAGAAATGTGTTGAGTCCTTGCATGGCGGCGTGGGTTCAAACTTTGTCGGTGACTAGTCTAACATATAATTTATTAAAATTTAATAATCTATTGTTTGACCAAAAAAAAAATCTTTATTGTCATTAAAAAAAGAGAGAATTTTTTATTTCTATTATTATATTTAATTAGTCTCTTGCTACATTAAAAAAAAGAAGTTATTAATACTTTCATAAGAAAGCTTCATTAATTTGGTAAAATTTTACATATAGTTATATAAATGTATTTAAAACTTATGGTACATTTGAAAATAAACGTACCGACTTTTAGTACGTTTAGATTTTAAATGTACTAATAAATAAATGTACCATAAAACCAAAATTGCTCATATTATAGGTAATCAAATGAACTAATACAATCAAACGATCATACAATCAAACGTACCTTTACTATGATTATGTATGTGATAATGAGTTTTGAACATTCTATTTAATTCACTAAACTAAATAGTATAATAAACAATAAAAAAAATCTAAAATCTCCAGAATGAGAGATGCATATAACTACAACAAATTCATAGGTAAGGAATGATAGGGAAAAAAGGAAAACGAAAGTAGAGATGTAATGTGAAATTTTTTAGGGTGGCTAGCAAACAATTTCATGAAAATTACCCAAAAGGTTCAAAAAAAAAAAAAAAAAAAGGAACTTCTAAAATTGAACTTTTAATAAAATGAAATTAATCACCAAAACTGTAGAAAAAATGTTTAATCAAATTCTTAAAAATAATAGATGTTTAAGCAATGAAATTGAAAAACTAAGCGTTTATATCAATACGCTCCTAAAATATGTAAAATAATCATGGGAACACAAACCATACCCCTAAGAATAAAGAGGCAACACGTGAAATGCATGGCTTTTCATTTTTAGTATAAATACTTGATGGTGTTCTTGGATGAGATTGTCCATCTTTTACATCTCTTTGTTTTTCGAGCTTAATTATGGCAGAGTTTGAAAGTGTCAAATCTTGACGATTTTGATTTTTGACGTTTATTTGTCCAGCAATATTGCGCACGAATCTCTGCTTCTGCACAGCTACAAGAGAAGCTTCAATGGCATTGCTGCCAGGCTAACAGAGGAAGAAGCACAGAAGTTGGCTGGTTGTCTTATGAACCCAACTTTAATTTATTTTTCAACTTGCATAAACATTAATAGTGACCATTGTATGACGAGAAAAATATATGCAGGAATGGATGGTGTGGTGTCTGTTTTCCCTAGTGAAACTAAGAAGCTCCAAACAACAAGGTCATGGGACTTCATTTGGTTTTCTGAAATGGTGAAGAGAAGCGCCATTGAAACTGACAGGGCCGGCCCAGGTCCAGTGCAGGCAGGGTGACCGTTTAGGGCCCAAAAAAATTAGGGGCACCAAAATTATTAGGGCGGTATATTTATATATGTTTTTATAAGAGTATAAATTTATAAAATTTGGTTCAAAGACACAGAAATTTAACTAGAAGTGGTGGTTTGTAATTTGAAAATGATGAGGAGGTCTTGGGTTCAAAACACCATGTGTGCTTATTTACTTTCCATTTTTTACAAATTTCTTTTTATAAGAGTATAAATTTATAAAATTTGGTTAAAGGATCAAGAAGTTTAATTAGAAACAATAATTTTTGTTGTTTAAAATTAACAAAAGATCCTAAGTTCGAAATGCTATGTGCATGTTTATTCTTTTCAATTTTTACAAATTTTTGTTTGGTTGTTAATTTATTTTTAGTTACTATCTAGTAACTATATGGGTTGTTATTTTTAAATATTCGTTTTAATTCAAGTCTAATCTTCAAAAAGAATAATACATAGACCAAATTTGCAAATTATATGACGTGTCATCAAAATTTTTAATTTAGCGCCCATTCATTAATAATACATATCAATTAAATACTCGAAAACATCATTATTTTTTAGTCCCATTTTGACAAGGTTAGTAAATAAGAAAAAAAAAACTCATGATTTATTCAAAAAACATTCAAAGTTCAGATAGAAAACCAAACTCATCATCTATCTACTTGTAAGCCCGAAGTTTTTTTGTTTCCCTCTCTCAATACAAAATAAATTAGTCTTTCTGTGTTTCTAAATTATTGAGTTTGAAGTGTTTTTCTAAGCATAATTTTTTCGATGTCTTATGTGTGAAAATAAATAATTTTCTTACATGAAGTTAAGGCATTTTTTTTTAGGTCGCCCCGAGCCTCAAAAATCTCTGGACCGGGCCTGGAAACTGATATCATTGTCGGGGTGATTGACTATGGAATTTGGCCCGAATCTGCCAGCTTCAGTGACGCCGGGTTTGGTCCACCCCCCACAAGGTGGAAAGGCGCATGCAAGGGCGAAGACAATTTTACTTGCAACAAGTAAAGCAAACCAGTTTATTTCAACCATCCACTGCACATTTCAAAAAAATATATATATAAATATATCACGTGTTGTTGTTAATTACACTTGGACAGAAAAAAAAAAGTGCGAACTTGATTATAATTTGTATGATATGTTGTCAAATTGTAACTCTGACTTAAATAATATGACAAATTGTTGTTACACTTGGACAGTAAAATTATCGGAGCACGGTATTACCGCAGTCTACCCTACCCCAAAAATAGCAGTGATATCCTGTCTCCGAGAGACACGGAAGGCCATGGAACCCACTGTGCATCAACAGCAGCAGGGAACTTAGTTAGCAAGGCAAGTCTGTATGGTTTAGGGTTGGGGACAGCAAGAGGAGGGGTGCCATCAGCACGCATTGCGGTGTACAAGGTTTGTTGGTCAGAAGGGTGCCTGGATGCTGATATACTAGCGGCATTCGATGATGCCATAGCTGACGGTGTTGACATACTCTCTGTCTCCCTTGGGGGGCTTAAACCGTTAGACTACTTCAGAAATTCCATTGACATTGGAGCTTTTCACGCTTTAAGAAAAGGAATATTTACTTCCGCATCTGCTGGTAATGAAGGTTCAAACCTGAAAACTATTACAAACTTTGCACCATGGTCTCTTGCTGTGGCTGCTAGCACCATAGATCGTCACTTTGATACCAAGGTTCAATTGGGAAACCACAAAATTTATGAGGTAATTGATACAGAATCTAACCTTTGCTCATTTAGGGCTTTGTTTGGTAGTGATTCTGGTTGGGCAATATATAATCACTTTGGAGAATCAACAATATATATACACACACACACACACTCTGAAGATGCACCAAAACACTAGAGAAGTGATTAACCTGAGAGTTGATTATGATTTGTGTTGATGCACAACATTAATGAGAACTTTGGTACAACAGAAAATGTTAAGTTTGTGACCTTCGCTAGATTGCTCCGGTCACTAGTGTGGATAAGTATGTAAATGGATAGAGACAGAGGAGAAAACACAAGATGTACGTGGTTCACCCAGATTGGCTACATCCATGAAGTAGAGGAGTTCTCATTAATTGTGAAGGGTTTACACAAGTACATAGGTTCAAGCTCTCCTTTAGTGAGTACAAGTGAATGATTTAGTACAAATGACATTAGGAAATATTGTGGGAGAATGATCTCTTTTTATAGAAGAGTTTCTAGCTTTGTCTGATATTGACACGTGTCGTGTTGTGATTGGCTTCTGATGTTGACACGTGTCGCGCTGTGATTGGCTTCTGATGTTGACACGTGTCACATTGTGATTGGCTTCATGGTTTGATGGAAACTCTTCTGGGTCATTGACGGCATAACGTTGACCGGTGCTCAGTAGTTTCGGGATTGGTCAAGTATGGTACAAATAATGCTCCCTTAAGTTCCCGAGTGAGGGAAACTCCTCGGTTGGGGACTTGCAAAATCCAAGTCGCTGAGTAATCACGAAACTTCTAAGTACTGAAGTGTGGTATCGTCTTCACTTGCCTTATTTGTCTCATAGGTAGATGTGGCAGCTTCTCTGGAAGTACTCTTCCTCCATCTATGGGTGGTTTCTTTAATCGGTGGAGATGCACAAGGTACTGTATCAATTTCACTTGAAGCTTACTTGTAGTTTCAGGCTTGGTCAAGCGCGATACAAACCATGTAGTAGGAGTCCCCCAAGTTGCCGAGCTAGAAGATCTGCTGAAAGAGGTGACATACAAGGTAAGCAATCAGTCCCAGATCAGAAGTTTGATTTCGAGTTCCGGCTGATTGTTCTCATTCTCCTTATCTTGTAGGCAGCATGAAGGATAAAGAGAAGAAAAAGGAGAAGATATGATATAAGATACCTTTGCTTTTGAAGAAGTAACTTTCCACATGCTTATTCTTGAATTGGGCTAAAGGGTTTTCTAGCTTCCTCCAGAGTACAAGGCCGACTCAAGAATTTGAGGGTCAAAACAAGTCTATCAAATCAAGAGTGTGTTCGACCTTGATGATATGTGATACTTTTTCTATTGACAAAGTAATAGATGAATCGGCACATGTTCTATTGCGTTTGTCTCCACATGCTTCCTTGTATCCTTCTCACTTGCCCTATCTGTTCCTCAAGAAGATGTGGTATCTTTTCTGGAAGCATAAGATGTTGAAGATGAGTACTCGAGAGCAATGCCAGGTAAGTAATCAGGTAAAGAGTTCCAGGTAGTCAGTTCCTGACTGGAAGCTTGATTCCAATTGCTGACTCTATGCTCTCTTTCTCATTGTCTTGCAGGTAAGAACAAGGTCAAAGGAAAAGACATGGAAAAAACATAATATGGGATACTCTTGCTTGTAACCCTGATGATATGAGATACTCTTGCTCTGGTGTGGCTTGTTTGCAGAGGTATTATCAGGGAGAAATAAGCTGAGTATTTTGAGAGACTCTATTGAGAGTGTCCTCTCAGATGTGAAGAAAAGTTGAGCATTTTTTTTTTATTTGCAGGTTTACTTGGCTGTGGAGGATGAAGGTTGACATATATAGGAATTATCCCAACAGCGAGTAGTAACGTTGTTCCTTTACCCTTCTCGGTTATAGCAATGTAGTGGGAGCTGCAAGATTCACGTGTTTTAACTTTGCCAGAGCACTTTGAAAAAGTGGTATGTGGTATCTGGAAAGCTGATGTTGCGTGTGAAGATTGCAGATAAGCTTTATCCAAGGAAATCTGGCTCTCAAAGTTTGGAGAGTGGTGTCTCTTCAATTTTCGAACAAGCAATCATGTCGGGGATCTAGCTTTCGAGATTCGAAGAACGATGCCTCTTCGATTTTTAAGAAAGCAATCCTGTTGGGAGTCTGGCTTTTGAGATTCAGAGAGTGGTGCCTTTTCGATTTTTGAGAAAACAATCATGTTGGAAGTCTGGCTCTTAAGATTTGGAGAGCCGTGCCTCTTCGATTTTTGAAAAAACAACCCTATTGGGGTCTAGCTCTCGAGAGTCGGATAGCGATGCCTCTTCAATTTTTGAGAAAGCAATCATGTTGGGAGTCTGACTCTCGAGATTCGGAGAGCAGTGCCTCTTCGATTTTGGAGAAAGCAATCCTGTTGTGAGTCTGGCTCTCGAGATTCGGATAGTGGTGCCTCTTCGATTTTTGAGAAAGCAATCCTGTTGTGAGTCTAGCTCTCGAGAGTTAGATAGCGGTGCCTCTTCGATTTTTGAGAAAGCAATCCTGGTGAGAGTTTGGCTCTCGAGATTCAAGGAGCGGTGCCTCTTCGATTTTTGAGAAAGCAATCCTGTTGTGAGTCTGGCTTTCGAAAAATAGTGCCTCTTCGATTTTTGAGCAAGTAATCATATTGGGAATGTTTTCTCGATGTGAGTAAAGGTTGGGTATTTTTGCCAATCTGCCCTGCCACGAAGCACGGAGGTTGACACGCATAGGGACTTTCCAGTTATTAAGTAGTGGTGCTGTTCCTTTACCCTTGTGGGTAATGGTAGGGTAGCTGGACCTTCAAAATTTATATGTCTAAACTTTGTTAGAGATCTTTGACAAAGTTATCTGTGGTACCCGAGGAACTGATGTTGCGTGTGAGGATTGTCGACATATTTTACTTAGGAAAATCTGCTTCTTGGAATCCGGAAAGTGATGTCTCTTCGATTTTTAAACAAACGGCCTTGCTGCCATTTCTTTTATAAGGGCACCAATTGTGTGCAAGAAGTACGTTCAGAGAGTTATTGCTTATAGGAATTTTCCCTTTATTTTTGTACTTCAGAGATTTATGGGACCTCATTTCTCCTTCATCATTTCTGAAAATGTCTGGCCCATCCGACCATCGTTTTGACTTGAACTTTGGTGAAGAGGCCGCCATGCCTCCTCAAGACAACATATGGCGCCCATCCTTCTTATCCCTTATAGGTCTTCTTACCGTTGGAGACTCTGTGACGAAGAATGATATGACCGTTATGGTGGTGGCCAGGAACCTTCTCACTCCCAAAGAGAACAGACTACTTTCCAAACGGTCTGATGAGTTGGCTGTTAAGGATGCTCTGGCTCTCAGTGTTCAGTGTGCAAGTTCTGTGTCTAATATGGCCCAACACCTATTTACTCATTGGTGACTGAAGTGATAAGTCTCAAACAGAAGATTAGAGGGCTCAAGCATGAGAATAAATAGTTGCACAGGCTCGCACATGACTATGCTACAAATATGAAGAGGAAGCTTGACCAGATGTAGGAATCTGATGGTCAGATTTTACTTGATCATCAGAGGTTTGTGGGTTTGTTCCAAACGCATTTATTGCATTCGTCTTCTAGGGCTGTACCACGTAATGAAACTCTAAATGATCAACCTCCGATGACTCATTTTTCTGGGGTTTTGTCCAGTACTGAGGGTCCGAATGATCACCCTCCGGTGCTTTTTCCTAAGCAACCCTTGTGAAGTCTAACTTTTGTTTGTTTATTTTGACTCATGTATATGTACATATTTGTAACTTATCAGAGATATCAATAAATAAGTTTTGTTTCATTTCAACGTATTGTGTTAAATACACCAAAGCCTTCTTCACTAAGTTCTTTGAATTTTTTCTTTTGTTGAAGCTTATATGTTGAAGCTTTGTGAGTGAAGCATGTAGGTTGAGGTAGTGTTCCCTTAATTTCCCGAGTGAGGAAAACTTCTCGGTTGGAGACTTGAAAAATTCAAATCACTAAGTGGTCGTGAGACTTCCAAGTATCAAGGTGCAGTAGCATATAGTGAGAGTCCACCAAGTCTCTGGTCGAGGGAGTTGATGAAGAAGGTGTCTTGCTAGTAGCCAAGTTTCTAAAGTAACAAAACTTCACCATTTTCTTTTCTAAGTGGTAGCCCAAAACTCCTCCTTCATATATATTTGTTATGAAAGTTGTTAGGCCTAAAGAAGATGAGGCCTGGGCAATTTTTTTTTTTTCGAATTTTCGAATTTTTTAATTTCCGAATTTTCGAAAAAAAATAGATATATATATTTTTAAGATTTGTAGGTGAAGTTTTGGTGTTGAAGCTTTGTAGGTGAAGCTTTGAGGTTGAAGCTTTGTTGGGTACCATGAATTGATTTTGCTTCACACTATCTTGATCAAAAGTGTGTGAAGCTTTTGTAGGTGAAGCTTTTGTGGGTTAAGCTTTTATGGGTCAAGCTTTTGTTGGTGAAGCTTTTGTGGGTCAAGTTTTGTGGGTGAAGCTTTTCTAGGTGAAACTTTTATGTTGAAGCTTTGTAGGTGAAGATTTTGTTGGGTACCATGACTTAATTTTGCTTCACACTATCTTGAAACTTTTGTTAGTGAAGCTTTTGTGGTGAAGCTTTGTAGGTGAAGCTTTTGAGAATTTGTAATTGCCTTCCATTTGTTGAAGCTTTTGTTTGTGAAGCTTTTGTGGTGAAGTTTTGTAGGTAAAGCTTTGTTGGGTACCATGAATTGATTTTGCTTTACACTATCTTGATCAAGATAATGTAAAGCTTTTGAGAATTTGTAGTTGTCCTCCATTTATGAAGCTTTGTTGAATTTCCCAATTTTTTTTTTTTTTTGGGAAACTAGAAATTTGAAAATATGGGAGAGACAACATATACAAATTTTGCTTCCACACTATTGAGCAAGAGATTGTGATGCAAGCCACACCTTGTAGTAGTCGAAGGTTTGGATGAACCATATAAATTGAATTTGCTTCGAACAGTCTTAATCAAGAGTGTGTGAAGTTTTCTACGAGTTGTAGTTGCCCTCCATTGATGAAGCTCTTGTTGGCACCATAAATTGGTTTTGCTTCACACTGTCTTGATCAAGAGTGCGTGAAGCTTTTCAGAATTGTGGTTGCCCTCCATTGATGAAGTTCTTGTTGGCACTATAAATTGGTTTTGCTTCACACTTTCTTGATCAAGAATGTGTGAAGTTTTTGAGAATTGTGGTTGCCCTCCATTGATGAAGCTCTTGTTGGCACCATAAATTTGTTTTGCTTCACACTGTCTTGATCAAGAGTGTGTAAAGCTTTTCAGAATTGTGGTTGCCCTCCATTGATGAAGCTCTTGTTGGCACCATAAATTGGTTTTGCTTCACACTGTCTTGATCAAGAGTGTGTAAAGCTTTTGAGAATTTGTTGTTGCCCTCCATTGATGAAGCTCTTGTTGGCACCATAAATTGGTTTTGCTTCACACTGTCTTGATCAAGAGTGTGTAAAGCTTTTGAGAATTGTGGTTGCTCTCCATTGATGAAGCTCTTGTTGGCACCATAAATTGGTTTTGCTTCACACTGTCTTGATCAAGAGTGTGTGAAGCTTTTGAGAATTATGGTTGCCCTCCATTGATGAAGCTCGTGTTGGCACCATAAATTGGTTTTCCTTAATTGATAGGGAATGAACTGAAGGGTAAATTCTACCCCATAGTATATGCTGCAGACATTCCAGATAGGGCAGTAGGTTACGATGGGGAAACTTCCAGGTATGTGTACGCATTTTGAGAATATATATACCATTTATATTGAAGAACCACGGTAGTCTAGCATAAGTCTAACCAGGTGCTAATATCATGGATATATATATATATATATATATATATATATATATATATATATATATATATATATGGAACAGGTTATGCCAAATAGGCATGTTAGACTAAAAATTGGTGGAGGGTAAAATTATTCTTTGCGATGAGACTACTGGGGATGGGGCTATATATGCAGGCACATTTGGTTATGTTTTGACAAGCTGAAATGCAGCAGATGTAATAGATCCTGTTCCAATACCAGCAACTTCCGTTTGGTTCCATGTTGGTAACCAAATTACCCATTACATGTTAGAAGCTAAATAGCTTCTGAAGTTGAGGGATCGAATGCAGCAAGGAACTCTCGAGCTTGGATTCGGTCTGCATCGAAGAAGAATGAAGAATGAAGGGTTTTAGTCTCCAATGGCTAGTTTCAATTTGAATGTATGTGTGAGTGTGTGAGTGACAAGTGTACACTCCAAATTAAATCACTTAAACCCAAATGAAGGGGTAGGATTAAATCTGGAGACATAAGGTAGAAATACTTAAACTGCCAATCACTCTCTAAAAGAGTATGGGTTATTGCAATACACCATACCCTTCAATCACTCATCTACTTAATGAAATTATGGCTATTGCATTTTGCATAGCCTTGAAGTCATCAGTACCAACTCCAAGTTCTCTCTATTCTCTGCTATTCTAATTCTAAGAAACCTATCCAAAACAATCCATCAAAACACCTAAATAAACAAATTTCATCATGGCCTTAGAGCCTAGTTTCTGATCTTACAACTTTCTGGGTGTAATCTGGGCAAGTTAAGATCTTTAGGAGCACCTACGTAGTGTCTTCAACAACAACAACAACAACAAAAAACAACCCTACAAATGAAGGGATCAAGCAGTAGCAGTGAGCTAAAAGCTCCAATCTTTGATGGGGAGAACTATGATTTTTGGAGAATAAGAATGACACCATTTTCAAGTCCTATGATTTATTGGATATGGTTCAACATGAGTATGAACTACCTGAGATGGAGGTCGATGCTCTAGAGGATGACCTCACAGAAACACAACTCAAAACATTAAAGTGGAATCGGATGGAGGATGCTATAGCACTTAGGATCATCCAGGGTGCTGTTTTAGACACCATTTTCCCGAGGATAACAAATGAAGAGTCTGCAAAGGGAGCTGGGAAGTTTTACAACAAGAGTACAGAGGAGACACCAAAGTCAGAAAGGTAAAACTTCAGTCCCTTAGATGAGATTTCGAGTATACAAAAATGAGGGAAAATGAGCTATTAAAAGACTACTTTACTAGGCTATGTGATGTTGTAAATAAGATGAAAACATATGGTGAGGAACTGCTTAATGAGAGAGTTGTCCAGAAACTGTTGATCAGTTTGACTAAACCCTATGATTTAATAATGAGTGTCATTGAAGAAACCAAAGACATTGAAACTCTTAATGTGCAAGATCTGATGGCATCCTTAAGAGCTTTTGATCAAAGGCTTGAGAGGCATGCAGATTCTGCCACTGAGAAAGCATTTCAATTACTCTCTGTTGGATCTAGTAGTCAAGCTAGTGCAAGCAGACAAAAACCACAATGGAAGGGCAAGAACAAGAAATGGGAAGGAAATGGGTATCAAAACCCTAGACCTAACCAAGGCAGCAACTCAAATGAAAATCCAAAAACTAAGAAACAATGCAAGCGCTGTGACAAATTTCATCTTGGGGAGTGTTGGTTCAAGGACAAGCCTAGATGTCATAAATGTAACAAGTTCGGGCACATCATGAGGGATTGCAGATCAAAGAATGTGCAGCAAGTGAACTATGCAAACCAAATTGAAGAAAAAGCAAATGTGTTTTGTGTTTTCAATGCAAAAGTGGAGAAAAAACAATGAAGTAGGGTACATTGACAGTGGCTGCAGGAACCATATGATTGCACATGAGTCATTACTCATTGACCTTAACACAAACTTCACTGGAAAAGTGAAAATAGGAGATGGAAACATTGTCAAAGCCACTAGAAGAGGAACTCTAGTCATTAACACCAAGAAATGAAGAAGATGTATAAGGGAAGTGATGCTAGTGCCTGGATTGGATGAGAATTTACTTAGTGTGGGTCAAATGATGGAGCATGGTTATTTCCTACTCTTTGGGGGAACTGTGGTCGAGATTTATGATGATAGATCCCTATTAAACCTAGTGACTAGAGTGGAAGTGAAAAACATAAGCTTTCCACTTATGTTGAAGTACCTAGAAAAGGTGGCAAAGAAAGCAAGTGTGACAGGTTCCATGAAGCTATGGCACAAGAGGTTTGGTCACTTAAACATGACAAGTCTAGAAAATCTGCAAAAACATGAAATGGTACAAGGTATACCAAAGTTGGATCAATGCAGTGAAACCTATGAAGGGTGTGTGTTTGGAAAGCATCACAGAGATCCATTTGAAGTTGGAAAGGCTTGGAGGGCAACAAAGCCACTCGAATTGGTTCACACGAATGTGTGTGGACCAATGCAAACAACAATAATCAGTGGAAACAAGTATTTCCTAACCTTCATTGATGACTACTCACGGATGTGTTGGGTGTATTTCATGAGGTTCAAGTCTGAGGTATTCAGAATATTCAAGAAGTTCAAGGCAATGGTGGAATTGCAAAGTGGATATCAAATCAAAAGACTGAGAAATGATAGAGGAGGTGAGTACACCTCACATGAGTTCAATGCATTCTGTGAGGGTGTGGGATTAAAGAAGTAACTCGCTATGGCATATTCACCACAACGGAATGGCATTACAGAAAGGAAAAATGGGACTATAGTTAAAATGGCTAAGTCTATGATGCATGAGAAGAACATGCCCTATACATTTTAGGGTGAAGCGGTAAATACTACAGTGTACCTATTGAATAGGTGCACTACTAAAGCATTGAACAAGAAGACCCCATTTGAAGGTCAGTGAAAAAAAAGCCTTCTGTAAAGCATCTGAGAATGTTTGTCTTAGTGTGCTATACTCACATTCCTCAACAACTAAGGCAAAAGTTGGAGAAATCAAGCAACAAAGGTGTTTTTGTGGGTTATGGTACCAGTGAGAAAGGGTACAAAGTTTACAACCTGTCAACTTAGAAGATAATTTTATCAAGGGATGTTATCTTTGATGAAGCCTCAACATGGAACTAGGAAACAAGGGTAGAAGAGAAGGACAATGTCTCTGTACAACTTAACCTCAACAAAAGGCAAACAATAGAGCCTATGGAAACTTCAATTCAAGAAGAAACCATATAGAATGGTGACACACAAGGGACTTCACATCAAGCAAGCATGAGTCCACAACCGAGTTAATCACAGATAACAATTCCAAGTTCAACTCCAATAAGGTTGAGAAGCTTGGATGAGATCTATGTTACATGTAACTATTGTGTAGTGGAATCAGAAACATATGAAGAAGCTGTGAAAGGCAAGGCTTGGAAGAAAGCAATGAAGGAAGAGCTTGAAATGATTGAGAATAATGACACTTGGGAAATTGTAAATCGACCAAGTGACAAGTCGGTGATTAAAGTGAAATGGATGTACAAAGTGAAGCTAAACTTAGATGGTTCTGTGCAAAAGAACAAGGCAAGGTTGGTAGCTAAAGGCTACTCACAGAAGCCTGGTGTAGACTTCAATGAAACCTTTGCTCCAGCAATAAGGTTAAACACCATAAGGACCTAGATAGCCCTAACAGCCAAGAAAGGTTGGAAGCTACATCAATTGGATGTTAAATCTGCATTTCTAAATGGCGTGTTAGAGGAAGAGGAGGTGTTTGTGAAACAACGTTAAGGGTTCACAAGTGAAGCATTTCTAGAGAAGGTGTACAAGCTAAGGAAGGCACTCTATGGCCTAAAACAAGCTTAAAGGGCTTGGTACAATGAGATTGATTCTTATTTCACTGAGAAATGATTTTAGAAAAGTCCTAGTGAAGCTACATTCTATACTAAGATAAAAACCAACAACAAGATACTTATTGTCTCAATCTATATGGATGATGTTGTCTACACTAGAAATGATGTTGCAATGATTGAAGAGTTCAAAGAAGAAATGATGAAGAGGTATGAAATGACTGACCTAGGCCTCTTGCATCATTGTATTGGCATTGGGGTAATTCAAGAGGCAAACAGCATCTTCATTTATCAAAGGAAGTATGTTGAAACCTTACTTGAAAGGTATGGTTTGAAAGGTTGCAAACCAGTCTCTACACCTCTAATTGCAAATGAGAAGCTTAAGAAGGATGATGGAGGTGAACCTGCAGATGCTAGTCACTACAAAAGCATTGTTGGTAGTCTATTGTACCTAACTGCAATAAGGCCAGATCTAATGTTCTCAGCAAGCCTACTTTCTAAGTTTATGCAGAATCCTAGTAAGATACATATGGGGACAACAAAAAGAGTTCTAAGATATGTGCAAGGAACGCTTTATTATGGCATCAAGTATGAAATGGGGAAGTCAACTATCCTAATTGGATTTTGTGACAGTGACTGGGGTGGTAGTGAAGATGATAGCAGAAGCACATCGGGCTATGCTTTCACCTTTGGATCAGGGGATTTTTCATGGGCCTCTGTGAAGCAACAAAGTGTTGCACTATCCACAGCCAAGGCAGAGTACATGAGTGCATCAAAAGCAACGGCTCAAGCTATTTGGCTAAGGTTTATACTCAAAGACTTTGGCAAATTGCAAGTTGAAGCCACACCACTTCTGTGTGACAACACCTCTGCAATTGCCATGACCAAAAACCCAATTTTTCATCAAAGAACAAAGCACATTAAGAGAAGATATCATTTCATCAAATAGACATTGCAAGACAACACAATCAAGCTAAGATATTGCAACACAGAAGATCAGATCGCAGACATTTTCACAAAAGCATTACCGAATGAGAGATTCAATTACATGAGGAGATTGCTTGGATTGACTCCCATAAGCAGTTTAGAAGGAAGTGTTGGAAGCTAAATTGCTTATGAAGTCGATGGATCGAAGCCAGCAAGGAACTCCCGAGCTTGGATTCAGTCTGCATCGAAGAATAATGAAGAAATGAAGGGTTTTAGTCTGCAATGGCTAGTTTCAATTTGAATATATGTGTGAGTGTGTGAGTGACAAGTGTACACTCCATATTAAATCACTTAAACCCAAATGAAGGGGTAGGATTAAATCTGGATAAGTAAGGTAAAAATATTTGTTTAAGTCTCTTGTCAATCACTCTCTAAAAGAGTATAGGTTATGGCAATGCACCATACCCTTCAATCACTCATCTTGTTAATGAAATTATGGCTGCTGCATTTTAAACAGCCTTGAAGCCGTCAGTACCAACTCCAAGTTCTCTCTATTCTCTGTTATTCTAATTCTATGAAACCCATCCAAAACAATCCATCAAAACACCTAAACAAACAAACTTCATCATTACGTAAACTCAACCAGGTATCAATATTTGAGAATGACAATGCATGATTGATTTAAAATATTGCTAATGTGCGAAACTAACATAAATCAAATGACCCCTTATTATGTTATTACTAATAAATCCTGAATCCATGTAATGATTCGTAGGAACCCAACAACAACAATTTGGAAAAGTACTGAGGGTAGGGATGCACTGGCCCCATATTTACCTTCATTCTCATTAAGGGGTCCAAATCCAAACACTCCTAACATTCTCAAGGTAACTTCAAGGCCCCGTAGGTGTGTGAATGCCGACTTAAAAAATGAACAAACCGAATCATGAATATTGAGGGGTCTTAATTTTCCTCCTTGTTTTCTCCTATATGTTGCAGCCAAATATCGCTTCTCCTGGAGTTTCCATTCTAGCAGCATGGCCTCCAATTCCCCCAGTTTCAGGTGTTGAAGATGATGACAGAGTAGCTTCATACAATATAATCTTGGGAACATCAATGGCATGCCCACATGCTGCGGGCATGGCTGCATATGTCAAATCATTTCACCCCAATTGGTCACCTGCTGCTATCCTGTCAGCTTTTTCGACTATTGGTATAGATGCATTTTCATAAATGTACCCATTACAATACAGCCGTTCTCTCACATATTTGATGAGTCGTGTGACCAATTATTGTCAGATATCATGTTACCAAGTCTTGTGAAAGAGGCTCTACATATAATTAGACTTTGTCCATGATGTACATTGTATTACCTAAGATTTATATGTTTGATTAATTTGTAACGATTTTGCCTATGAGTGCAATCTTAAACCTGAAGCCGAATTCGCATATGGTGCTGGCCTAATAAATCCTAGTAGGGCTCCGTATCCTGGTTTGGTATATGATGCTACTGAAATCGATTACATAAATTTTTTGTGTGCACATGGCTATAGTACCAAATTATTGAAAGCTCTTACCGGGGATAGTTGCTCATTATCACAATCTAGTCATGGAACACTCAGTGGTCATCTAAACTATCCTTCTGTTGCACTTTCCACCTCGAACCCTAAATCCGTGAATGGCATTTTCAATAGGACCGTCACAAATGTTGGATCACCAAAGTCCACATATAAAGCTAAAGTGAATGCACCACCAGGACTTGAAATCAAAGTTAATCCAAGCGTTCTAAAGTTCACATCTCTCTGGCAGGAGCTATCATTTCAAGTCATGATGAAAGGGTTGATTGAAAAAACCATAGTCTCTGGTTCTCTGGGCACTTGAAGCAATCCTGCTGACTTTATCTAATGAAGTCTTGTGTGAAGTTGGTAATGTCAAATCTACACTAGAGTTGTGGCTCAAATTAGAGAGCTTGTATATGACCAAATCCCTTGCTAAATGGTTGTATTTGAAGAAAAGTTTGCATACTCTTCGTATGGATGAAGGTACGTCAATTCATAAGCATGTTAATGAATTCAATAAACTTATTATGGATTTGAAAAGTGTGGAAGACCAAATTAGTGATGAGGAATATGCGATAACTTTGTTGTGTTCTTTATCTCCTTCGTATCAACACTTTGTCGATACCATGCTATTTGGTAGAGAAAGTCTTAGTTTGGAAGATGTTAAAGTCGCTTTGAATTCTAAAGAGTAAAGAATAAAGTGTCTGACACACAAGATGGAGCTTTGGTAGTTCAAGGAATGAATAAGGAAATGGGTAAACTTGGAAACAACACTTGTAGCTATTGTTATAAGGAAGGTCATTGGAAAGTAGATTGCCATAAACTCAAGGGCAAAAAGAAGCCGTTTGATAAGTCTTTTGCTAGTGTTGATGCAAACATTGCAGAAGATTGTTGTTCTAAACTCCTCTAAAGGTTATGCAAGGAGGTGGAGCTTGGTACTTAAGTTCTTTGGGTGGAGAGCAATTCACACTTTTTGTTCGTATGTTCAAGCTTTTGATTGAATTTTGTTTCATATTTGTTAGTTTCCGTAATGGAATTTGTTAAAAAAGGAGTTTGAGGAAATTTCAAGTTTGAAGACTTTTGGATTTTTTTAGTCTAAGTAGAGGTTAGTTTCAAAAGAATTTGGTGCATGTTTACGTTTGTATTTTGGTATCCCAAATTTGAAGTTTGTATTTGATTTGGAAGTTTGCTAATTTCTCTCCGAGGTGGAGATTGTTGGGTTTTACGGCTCAAAATTAAGATGATGCAAAAAATTAGGTTTATGTTACCTATTTGGTTTTGATGTCCTTATTGGGCTTGGATTTTGACTTCTTAGTTGGTTTCCTTGGTGGAGAGATTTTGTTAATTACCTATTTGATTAGGATTTGTATTTACTTCCTATTATGATTCTTATTGTAACCTAAGTCCTATGCACTATAAATAGGACCTTAGGGTTAGTGTATTTTGTGTGGCTCTTTTGTGTGGAAATTTGGTGAGAGTCAATTTATGAGTTTGTGAGTTAAGAGAGCAATTTGGAAGAATCTTCTCCATTTGTTTGAGTTCTCTACTCGTTTGGTTTAAGGTTTGTAATTTGTGGGATTTGGGTTGTGAGAGTTTAAATACTTTTTTGTAATCTCCGTTTGTTTAGTGAAATTCCTCGCCGTGCTTCACTCGTGGACGTAAGCTTTACACCGAACCACATAAATCTCTTTTGTTAGTTTGAGATTGTTTGTTTTAGCTTTCACCTACGACGTTGATATTGGTACTTTGTTAGAATTCGCTTCCGTTTGTGCATAAAAGTACAACAAAAACACATGTTCTTAATATAAAATTCACATGAAATTTAAATTTGCAAAATGATTCACATTTCCAACCAACCACACTTTATATACAATAGATTTATCAATAACAAGGTTTGTGCTACATAAGAAAGCATATTACATTCAACGATATTGTCCAACACAGCCAAATACCCTAAGGGTGATGACGGTGCATTTTATCCCACCTATGTAGCTATGCACATCCAATGCACGTCCAATGCACGTCAATCTGATAACTAACAAAATCCACCCAATTGGTTCTATGCCTTCCCTATGGCATTTCTAGTATACACATCAAGTAAAATTCACAAAAAGAACCATAGTAACTTTTCACTTACTGATTCCAGTGACATTCACCATGCTCCACTGCACCTCCAATCATCCTTCCTACCTGAAGTTGCCGCATAAAGACACCAATTTAATACATTGCATATAATACCAAATCAAAAAACTAATAGTCAGGGCAATGCTTGGTTCAAGATTGAATGTCAAAATATACAAATATTTCCATATCCTACAACACTTTCATCGAATCAATACTTCCTATAACTATTACCTTAATCAAAAGTGAGATACTATTACAAGCGTTCTTCGAAGTCTTGGGCGTCTACACCACTTCTAACTCGAACCTCATCATTATCACCAGTTGCATGTTCCATATCCTATCTATCGCACGGATCATACATATCAAATAAACCACGTGGTCTTTTTTTTTATTGCAACGTGCCATTCAATATATGTTGGATCTTGTACATAGAACACTTGTAGTGCTTGTGATGCGAATATAAAGGGGCCACTCGCAGACGAAATATTATTGAAGTTAACCAATATAAAGCCATATTTGTCTATTTTTACTCCCTGACCAGTATTTCTGGAAGTGCCATCAAACCAGTTGCACTTGAATAATACCACTTTGCATTCCATATGGTACTTGATTTCAAATACATCAGTCAAAACCCTATAGTAGTCTACCAAACCAGTAACAGGGTTCCAGTCACATGGGCTAGCATAACTTGGAACATTAGACTGTAGGAAAACACCATAGTTTTGGTATTTCCAATTGGATTGTGTGCCTCTTACTTTAAACCTGAACCTATTACATACAAAAATATTATATCTCTGACACCACTTACTAGGTCCATTAACAAGCACCACCAAGTCATCGATTGCCCTTAGATCACCCGATTGTTGCAATTGATTAAGAAGCCATCCTCGAGGAGAGAAAAACCATGTCAACACATGTCTTCACTAGTGTGTCGAGACATGTAAAACCTTTGCAAGCGAGGTGTAATAGGAAAATATGTTAGCACCTTTTGAGGTATTCTCTTTTTACTGCTTGGTGTTGTGTCATCTACCTCAGTTGTATATCTGGACACACCACATGTATGACAAACATCTAAACCACTGTCATGTTTTCGATACAACATGCAATCATTTTCACATGCATGGATCCTTTGGTGAGGCAACATGAAATTTTTCAACAATGCCTTTGTATTCATAAGCTTCTTTGATAATGAATGAATATTTGGGCGTAGTTGAAGATTAGCTTGCACTGCACTTTCGCTGCACCCATATAAGCACTTGTTTTGAAATACTTGCATGAGGAAATCCATTTTCTTCATACCACAACTCGGATATAATTCCGTGTTGGTGTCTTACACCATGGCTTGAAACTTACGTGCATATGCAGGTATTAGAGCTTCTTGACCGGTGTGATTATTAATAGGCAGTGGCACCTGAGAAAATACCTTCAAGCAAGGGGCCTAGTTCACAATGAAGAGTATTAACACTAGCAATTTGTTGTACAACTTGGCTACTTGGAAGAGGGTCACCAAATGTCTCTCCATGCCATACCCATAGGACTTCCAAGTATGAACGGTCCATACCTTCAACAATTTGATGCACTTTGACTTCATTGTTACTCAACCAGAACCTATTCAAGCATTTAGCACATGGACATTTGATGTTGCCATCATGATAAGATACTTCCAATGAGTTTGAGATAAATTTTGCTAGCCCTATTCTGTAATCCTTTGTAACCGAATTCAAAGTGGCCCAACTTTTGTCCATCTTACTTGAATATAATCAATAGTTTCCATAATTGGAACAATAAGGTGCCTAATGATTAAGATGTCAAGTAAAATACGTAACTGAAACAAATTAAGTAAATATAGTATGCGAATAAGAGACAAAAATTTACAAACGCAACTACAAGGGAGAATATATATTGTACGAAAGAATCATTTGTAACAGGAAAACAAAAAATCAATCGATTTTATGAGTGACATTGTATGTATGAGACTTGCAATGGATTTTAGGGTGCAGGGGATAATAAGAAGTTCATATAATTCACTAGAAGAAGGAAGAAAATATTTCATATACTCAATACTGTCGGTCGGGCAGTCATTAATATAACGAAGCTTAAAAATGAGGAACAAAAGGGGCAAGAAACTAGGAAGCCGATAAATAAATTCTTTAGTTGAACCCTAAAACATGAGTAATTGGAGAATCAAACAGATTAAGAAGCATGATAAACAAATTGAATAGTTTGACATGAAAATTTTTTAATATTAAATATAAGAAACTAAAAGTTACCTTCTGGAAATCCCCAAAATCACTTCTATGTCTTGAACCCCCAATTTGATAGTATGAAACCCAATTGAAAAAAATAATAATGAACTGAGGAGCTTTATCTGTTGAGAAATTGAGAGGACGAGGTTTGAGAAGCAGATAACCAGCATCTTACGAGTGGAGTTTTCGCTGCCCACGCTCGTTGCCAACTAAACGAGGCCACTCACCATCTTACCCACTACGACCTATCCACATCCTACAATTGCTCCTGGTTCAAGGAAACGGCTGACTTCATCACTGATGTAATATTGGCCGAGAGATGCTATTAGGGTCGAAGGCTCTGTCCTTCTATGGGTTTTGGCCTTTCTCCCTTTTGCTTTTCACTTGCATCTGTAGGTTTTCTTCTCAGGAGATTTCTTCTCCCCTTGCAATTTATATCGCAACTTTCAAAAAAAAAAACTAGCACCACTTATGTGCCTAAAAAATCAATAATAAAATTAAAATGCAAAAGAAAAGTATTTTTAAGAAATAAAGTTATTTAACAGACACTGATAGTTGATGTCTCAATTTTGAAGGCCACCGATATCAACGGCATCCAACTGTAAAGACACCAAAAAAATACTAAGAATGTTTGCTTTATATCTATGGTCACCAATTGCAATGGTATGCAAACATCGGTGTCGTATAACCATAATTCTAGTAGTGGGTCAATATGGATGCATGGCATGTGACGTAGGTCAGGAGGTTTTTCTTCTTTTCAAAAGCAGTTTCTGTTGGAAAAGTTAGACATGGAATTGATACCACATTTAATATGCTTCTGTACCGTCTTTCCCTATAACCAAAAATTGAATGAAGTAAAAACTACCTTATTTCGCAATATTTCTTCAACTGGCTACTGGCTCTCTTGTTTTTCAATTGTCATCATGGTCGAAGTATGTAAACTGGGTCGGAT